CAACTTTCTTAAAAGTGAATGAAACATGCCACCACCTTCCTACAAACGGGGGAAACATGCCTGCATGCGTTGGGGCATCATGTCGTGGAAATTTGCTGCACAAGTCCAGCTAGTCTGCTGCTGCGCACCACCAATGTCACTTTCAGAACAGTTGGGTAAAGAGGCAAAAACACGAGCACAAAATCAAGTTTTCTTTTTATCTATAATATGCAATAGGCAATAGAAAAAGGTGTCCATTCATTTGTTGGCGTCGGCTTTGACTCCACACATTCTTTTAAAATTTGTCAGCTGGGTTATGGTGTCGTGGTAAAATTCAGGTCTCGGAGTGCGCGCTGTTGGTGATGCTGCTGCAGGCGTGGCATGGTTCGAGGTGGATCTGAAGCGCAAGAAGGTGGTGGTGACCGGCGCCGCGACGCCGCTGGAGGTGCTGCAGAGCGTCTCCAAGGTCAAACTCGCCCAGCTCTGGATGCCACCACAACCATGCTAACGTACGGGCTAGTCGACCACCCAGCCTAGCCATGATATGCAGCAGCCAGAGACCATTTTCTCCGACAAACAACCCTCCATTACCCTAGCACCTATATATGTATTCTCCTATCACAAAGGTGGATACCGACATTTGCCGAAAATGATGCTAACATGAGATCGATCACAAAGTAAGCCCTGGCCGCCCGCGTGCATCGATTTCAGTATGCAGAGGCCGGGAGTTGATACCAACATCTGTTGCGAGGATCGGCATTTTGTCTATCTATATTATTATATTAAAAAAACCAAATTAGGGATGACGGTGTGCCTGCCATCGTGTAATATAGACCGTTAGATCTATATCTGACGGATAGAAAGCAAACTATGGCAATTTTGCAAAAAGATACCCGCATCTCTCTCCACACTTGTAGATAAGGACTTTCCTTGTTCATCTTTTTCTCTCATAAGATAAACTAATCATACAAATATATCTTGATGTTCCGTGCAACGCATGGGCATCTTGCTATTGTCTATATATATGTATGTTTGCAGTCAACAAAGGAGAAATGGTGTCCTCCACATAACCTTCAACAAAAGAGGTCTGTCAGGCCATTACCAGTTGACTACTTAGCACAATGAATCTATGGCCACTCGCTGGTCACAGCTTCGGTGAACTGTGCATATACAAAGAAGACTAGGCCCGTAAGGGTTTGATTTTTCCTGTTTTTTCGGATTTTTTTTACCGTGTTTCTTTGATTGACACGTGTGTGTGATGGTCTCCTAGGGTGTCATTGAGTTTATTTTTCCTGCAGTCATGTTTTGTTTATTGTTGACATGACGCGTGTGTTGTGTGGTCTCCTGGAAGATTCCCCTTGTCCTTTAAAAAAGTTTGGTTCACTGTGTGTTGGGATGGTTGAATTCACGTGGACGTTCTAGAGGTATGTGGCCTGGTGTTGTTCCAGCAGCCTTTGCATGGCTCATGCATGTGCCCACGTTGGCTTCATGTATCGTTGACTGCCTATGCCATCAATTGACACGTTGCTTTCTGGTCTTTTCTCGTGGGTTTCGTTTTATTTTCTTCTCTTTTTCTGGCCGCCTATAAGTACTTCCTTGTCTGGTGTTCGTTCATGTCCCTCTTGTTGTGTCCTTCCTGTTCGTTTGGTCTCTGTTACGGTGTGGGAGGGCGCCGGCGAGGTGGTACAGGTCGCCGATGGACGGTAACACCCACGGCCCCGGCGGGAGTCTGCTGGTAGGGTGCACGGCCGTCCGCCGTCGTTTGGGTCGCCAGCCTACAGCCCGACTCTCTCTCTACGTGTGGCTGGTCTTGGCTGTTCGGCTGGCCGTGATTTCGTTCGTTCTTCATCTGGTGTTTCATGGTGCCGCTCCGCACGCGTGTCGTGGTTCTTTTTTGGCTGCTCGGCGATTTGGTCAGCCATTACTCTCTCACACAATTTGTTGTGCAGCAGATTTGATGTAGGATTCGCCAGTGACCGTACGAGTACGCTGCGGAGTTGCTGCCACTGCCGCCACTACCTGGATTCGCTCCCGGTGTCTGGAACCGCCCCATGGATTTGTCTCGCTGGTGCTTGGAGTCTCCGACGCCGCCATCAAGGTATCCCGTCCACCTTCTCCATTCCCTGCTATCCTCGCGTCCGGTCCTCCCGCGTTTGCTTGTGTGTTGGCTGTGTGTGCTCTTGCTTCCGCGTGCGGCGTGCGTGCCTGTTGCTGTGTGTGTCTGTGTGTACGTACTTGTGGTGTGCTCGTGTGCGTGCTTGCTAGCTGCTGCTGGGCACCGGGCCATGGCCTTTGCTGTACGCAACTATAATTTGCTAAAGAATGCAGTTTCCTTGCTGCTGACCTGTTGAAGTTGCTGCCAGGGAGAAATAGACATGGCATCTGCGGGTCAATCTTTAGTTAAGAGGCTGGGAAGCACCAAATATATATCATTCGGTTAGAAAAGGTACAAGCTAACTTATTTAATTTGTCCAACTTTTCATGCTTAATATTCTGTATATTTCAAGTTCTAATACTAGCAGATGTGTTTTGCAAGTCGTGGGAGGATTGAGTAAATTGATGATCATTGAGTCATCAAGGAGACGAGAACTTGATGAAAAGAACATTGGATGCAGCATATGGGGCAGTATTTTGATCTCATCTGATGCATGTATTTATTCTTTGTCTTTATAACATGGTATTTTATTAATTTTTTATCTATACTTGCCGTATCGCCGTATTGCTGAATTGTTGTATCCCATGTCGTCGTACCCCTATCGCCGCATCCATGTTGCCGTATCGCTGCTTCATAGAGGAAAATAAAGATGCTGAACTTCTGAATGATGTTGGCATGGTGCCCAGAAGATAAATATTGGGTTGTTAAAATTATTGTTCGGCTGGGATCTTTAAACGAGGATTCTTACCTTCATACATATCCTACACCTTTTGTTGCTTTGTACGCATTGATAATTTGTACGCTTTGTTCAAGGTGTTGAAATTCAAGCCCTAATTCATAATCATCAATTAAACATAACACATAGATTTATGCATGAGTATGAAATTCTGTTATTTTTAAAGACCATACTTAGGAACCAAAGTATGACAGCAACGGCTTCGCGGCAACCGTTTTACTATCGCGGCAAACTGAGATTGAAGAAGTGCAAATATGAATTAATGGATATGTAGATATATCATTCTCTACTTCTGAATGAAATGGAAAACAATAATTTGATATCTGTAACAAGAAGAATCTAATAAGAAAAATAACATTCTACTCAAAAAGAAAATGCCCAAGCTGCCACTATTCAGTCAGCCCAGGAGTAAAGTTATACCAAGCAATGCCGCATCAACATGCTCTTTCCCTCCAGAAAGAGTTTACAAGACGGACAAGAATTTTAACCAAGATTTGTGACAACTTCTCATAAATTCTGCCGCTTCGCATTTCCCGCAATTGTGCAGGAATGAATAACTCAATAACACCAGAGAAGTGTAGAATCGTCAAGTCTAAGCCACACTAACTTTGTATATCTATGTAACATGTTTAGCTTAGTTTATTAGTAGTGTGTCTCTTTTTTCTCATGTAATTTTCTGTTCGCGTGATACACCATTGTCTATATCAAATGGGCATGCTCTTTATTACCCCAAAAATGTTTTATCTATCAAATTTCTTCAACCCTACCACTAAATGTGTGAAACAACATTAAATTTACGAATCAAACAAGTAAGTACACATAAATATACAACAAGGTGCGACGTGGCGTAGCGCACACAATGTGTGAAAAGCCAATTCCTTCTCCCTTGTGTTCTCATTTTTCTTGTAAAATTATCTAAGACAAAAGAAAGAAAAACCAATCCTCCTTTGTGCTCCTCTTACTCTTTTCAAGAACTAAATTAGGAGCTTATAGGAAAATGATGCATCTACAGATAAATACTGCACAAAATTAACTCCATCTATACCCATTTCTCTTGTAGAGAAATATCTGAGCATGATTATTAGTGCTATATTGTGAGAAGGAAGGACTTGCTACATGATTTTCAGAGGACTCATCAGGCAATCTGGTTTTCCAGTATCTGTTTCAGATTTGTGTACTTAGCTATTGCTGAGACACAAGGAACTTGGTGAAATGGTTATAATATAAGCAAGGTCCATCACCTTTTCTCTAAAAATGTAAGTTGTGGCCAAATGTATTGCTTACAGTTACCTTTCCTCCAAAAACATTTATACTTTCATGTCAGTTGCTGCTTTAGCCTGGCCTTCTAGACGGTGATGATTTTCAGATATTTTGCATGGTGTTTTCTAGATTTGTCTTTCTCGAAGGATCCCGTCAGATTGTATCAGATCGTGCGCCGCTTTGCCGCTAAATAAATCATATAAGGCTTCCCTATCATGATTCCCCCGAATCTCACACTCCCGGCCTTCCAGCCCCATCACCCAAACCCAGCCGGACCATCAACATCTCAGTTCTAAGAAGAGAACAAGAGCTTCCCAATTCTGCGCCAAGTATCACTCATAAAAGGCCTCATTATCATGAGTCCCCTGAATCTCGCACTCCCGGCCTCCCAGCCCCATCACCCAAACCCAGCCGGACGATCAACATCTTAGTTCTAAGAAGAGAGCTAGAGCTTCTCAATTTTGCGTCCAATATCTACTATATTACTATGTGTCGTAAATCTCAAATGTATGTACCAACTAGATGGATTTCTTGTATGAAATACTTTGTCACAATTTCCTACCTATGTACCAACTAGATGTAGCATGTTCTTGTATGAACTACCTTGCCACAAAAGAAGTCTTGGGTCAACTTACCAAATATTACAAAAAAAACTAAATATCTAATTAGTCCATGTGGCGCGGCGGCACGCCGCCGCGCACTACCCGCTAGTATACTTCACGCACCGTCGGTCATCTTCAACCGGATTTCCATCTCTTGTCCTCCTATTTGAGTTCCAGACATTTCTGCTGCAGCTCACTCTTGAATGCGCTGCCTCCCAGCTCAGGACCAACGGATCATATGACACCGAAAATAAGTGTTAATTGTGCCTTATTTGCTGATTCCACTGTAGTCTTCGACTTCGGAATGCATTACAAAGCTCGGAAATGTCGTCGTAATGTCCCTGAATAAACAACCACAACAACAATAAGATCACGTGAAATGGAATGGGCAAAAAAAATTAAAAAATAAAAAGACCTCTACTCTCTAGCATGGCATAACTGATGGCACTCATCTAAATGCCGCATTTTTGTATCAGAAGAAGATTAAACTAAGAAATCGCAGGTGAAGCTGAACTACCAATTCTGAGAAATTAAAAGGAAACATCAGCTGTGAGCAGTAATGGAAAGTAGAGCAGCAGATGATGGTACTCACTGGAGATAGGGCAGTGACATGTTCCTCAGCGACGCTGGGTTCTTCTTGACAAACTCCTCCCATTCCTTGGGGTCTATCCTGCCATCACCATCCGAGTCTGCTTGACTGAACGTCTGGCAGTCCAAAAGGAGCAGAACAGCACAGAACATGTTAAGAAGGAAAACGGGAAAATACCTCCCATACATGGAGGGAAGTATCAATGTTGTTGATTACATACATTATGGACAATCTCCTCGACGGCGCTATCGGAGAGACATAGGTCGGACTCATCAAGAAGCGCCACCACCATCTCCCGGAGCTGTGCAGGCAATGTGTTGATTATATAAACTTTTAGAATTCAGAAATAACGCGTCGACATTACAATAAAGTGCGCCATGTGCTAGGTTGGATGCGGAAATGATTTAGTACTTGCCTCTTCTTTCTCGATGTAGCCTGTCCCCCGCAGATCGTACAGCTTGAATGCAACTGCAGGGAGGACGATGATGGAGACAAACGAAAGATTTTTGATTGGTTTCATAGGGAGGAGAGGACAAGAAGATGAATGGACGGCAAACTAGGAGCGAACAATGGACAGGAGGCGTACACGCGGTCTTTTCAGATTCAGGCGCTTTGGGGTGGAAGATGCTGAGCGAGCGCACGAACTCGCCGAACTCGATCACGCCGTTGCGCTTGAGATCGAAGAGGTCGAACACCCTGTCCGCGAACAGGTTCGCCCCTCTGCTGGTCCTGAACAGAGCCAGCCGGAACTCCTCCTGACATGAACGAAACAACCAGCCACAAGTTCAGAACCCAGGGGCGAGATCATCGGACAAGATGATCATGGAGCTCGTGAGATGGATGTAAGGAGAAGCTGAGCTTCTTGTAGAGCTCGTACCTTGTGGATGAGGCCGTCCTTGAAGATGGAGAAGCTGAGCTTCTTGTAGAGCTCGTACAGCGCCTCCACCTCGTTCACCGTGACTGCACGCAAAGTTCAGTTGAGTCGGTTGCAGAGGAAAGGCAGAGGCAAACTTCTGGAGCTGGGAATGGGGGTGCTCACGCACAGGAGGTCTCGGCGGCGAGGACGGCGGGCTCCTCGTACCCTTGGGCGCGCTGCTCACGCTTCCGTGGCGACGGCGACGACGAGAACGCGCAGCCCATCTGTGGATCCTTCCTACGCCGGCCGGCCGGCGCCGCGGGGGGCTCTGCGCGCTTCTCTGCAGGCAGGGCAGGCGTTGACCTTCAACCGAAAGCCCAGCAAGAAGGAAGGGGAGCACCATCGACCAAACCGAAACACACAATCTGACCCGAGAGGCTGAGACCACCTCGCCGGCGGGGCCTTCCGCGGCACCGCACAGCTGGCTCTGCTCCGGTGACGCTCGGCACGGGCGGAGAAATCTCCGGCCGGGGCCTCGAGGACGGACGGACGGACGCGGCTGTCTCCTCTTTCCGCTGCCGGGTCTGCGTCAGTCCGGTCTGTCCCCTCGCTGGACTCTTCCTCCTCCTCGGGCTCGGGGGCGGGCGTGATTTAACGAGGCGGGGCGGGAGGTCAAACGGTGGCACTATTTCCCGCTGCCGCGCGACAGCGACTGCGAGGCCGCGAGGCCGAGCGCGTGGACCGCCGGGTGGGGGCTTCGGCTGGTCACAGTGGGAAGGAACTTAGGAGTAACATCACATACTCCAATACAACTTTGTTTATGTGGCACGTATTTAATGAAGAGAGAGGTGCTTGTGGTAACTAGCTAAGTTACCGGAACATCACACACTCCAAGAAACAATGAGTCTATAACCTAATAAATACATCGTTGCATGACACTACATGGATGTTCCTACCCACTATGGAGGTAGTAACATAGTCTAGGAAAGTGTGAAGTTACTCGCTTATGTTCTTGCCCATTGTGACCAGCCTTCGTACGCCGTCGCTGTCCCCCCAGATTTCGCCGCCAGTCACGCCCTATCCTCTCTCCGGCGAAGATTCGGCCGCCGTCACTGGGGCAACCAGTTCCGGCCGTTGAATTCTGCGTCCTCTGCCAATAAACTACCGAGTACTGAGCAGCCGCCCAAATTGCATCACCGCCGTCAGCTCGCACGCGAACGCGGAAGCGTCCCGCCGGACTTTTTCTTTCTACTACTATCTGCTACTGCTCCAGATGGTTTGATTCCCGTTGTTTTTCACATCGACACCTGCGCGCGCGCGCACGCTCCCGTCGCGTAGGCTGCGCGCGGCGGAGCACGGCAGCGTGAGCGCCGGCGGCGGCGTCACGTACGTCAGGCGCTTTTCTTTGCCGGTTAGAAAAATGGGGTTCGCTTCCCCGCGCGTGGGATGGGCCGGTGGACGTGGCGATCGGGGACGGGCGTCTGGCCAGGTGCACGGTACACGGAGTACCAGGACTCGTGTAGCGCTGACCATGCCCAGAATAATGCACTATTTTTTGTCAGTGAAGTGATAATTCACTATATTAACAGGCTGGTACAGCCGGGTCCGCACGGTAACTCGTTATATGCATGTTTTGTACTCCTTCTGTTTTTATTTACTTTGCATATTAGAGTTGACTGAGGTCAAACTTCATAAAGTTTGACCAAGTTTATAGAAAAAAATATAGACATTTATGATAATAAATCTATACGATGTGAAAGTACATTTAATAATAAATCTAATGTTGTTGATTTGTTATTGTATATCTTAATATTTTTTATATAAACTTGGTCAAAATTTGTAAAGCTTGACTTTGACCAAAGCTAATATGCGAACTAAATAAAAACGGAAGGAGTATAAGACAGATTGCTTCGCATTCTTGTTCTTGTTATTGGCACCACATTTTTAATAGAGCTTTCATTATGGACCACATACGGTTATATGTAAATGCATTTTAGAGTGCTTAGAGCATCTTCAACGGGCGCGCTAAACAAGCACCGCGCCACATATTTAGCCAGTTTAGCGCGCGTAACCCGGCGGGTGGCTCCAGCGGGCGCGCAATAACCGCGCGCGCGGTATAAGGAGTTGGGCGCACGGTCGGAATCGCTATCTCGCGCGGTGTATTTGGGGCGCCCGCTTCCGCGCGCGGCACAGTCGAGCGCTCGCGCTGCACTTTGTCTTCTCCGCCTCCTACGCCCCGCGCGCGCCGGCGCCGGCAAACTGCACCCATGGACGCGCGCGTCGGCACCCGCTCACCCCATCCTATAGCCGCGCCCCCTCCGCCGCCGCCGACGCCGCTGCCGCGCCGCAAACCCTAGCCCGGGTGGCGTTGGCCTCGCCTCCGCCGGAGCTCCTCCGACCATCGGCCTCACGCGCGGCCTCTTCATGCCGCCGTGGATGACCTCGGCGGCGGGTGGCGTCGCGCCGGCGCCGGCCCGAGCCGCCGCCCCCTCCTCATCAAAGCTCCCCAATGCGGCGCGGCCAAAGAAGGGCAAAACATCGGCGAAGAAGAACAAGGCGGCGGACGGCTCCGGCACCTACAAGGCGGTGAACTTGGTTGGATGAACTTGTGGGCATGATTTTAAACTTGTGGGCATGAACTTTTCTTCATCAACTTGTTTGTGTGAAATTTTATGTCATGTTCATTGCATTTTGAATGTTTCAACTTCATTTCGTGTTCAAAATGTGACATATATGCAATGCTGCGGCGAGTCGCGCGCTGCATTTTTTACGCACTGCTGGAGCCAGCGCGCGCTGCATTTTAGCGCGACTGCTGGAGCCAGCGCTGCGCGCCGCGTCAAAACAGTTTCTTGCGCGCGGCGCATTCGGCGTCTGTTGGAGATGCTCTTCGTATATTAGTCTATAGTAAAATATCTATAAAGACTTGTATTTATGAATGGAGAGAGTACACCGTACGGTTGTTCTTTTTCTGGTTGCCGGCACCACATTGTGTGAAAGACGACTGCTAGGCGTCAGAATCCTGGGTAAGGATCATTCACCGCCACACCCACCGGACCCCGTAGCAACCCCTCACAACAGTCATCTCCACGCAGCAACTATTAGCCGCATTGCAGCTTCCCGTCATCTGCGAGAACCATGGGTCATAGCACGACACACGTTGTGTTGCGGCTCTGCCGCCGGTGAGACCCACGAAGCCGCGGCAGCACTCACACGTTTTAGTGCAGCTCCTCCGCCGATGAGATTAGTGGGTCGTAACATCACACTCAATGCATCGCAACTCTGTTGCGGGCGAGTAGCACCATGGATGTTGTGTTGCAGCTCCCCGCCACCATTGAGATCCGGGGGTCCCAACACCACGCAGGTTGCATTGCAGCTCTGTCGTCGCAACACCTGAGATGGCGCCCTCCATGCATCTAGATGGCACCTACGTTATGGCTGCTCGGACATCCGCAAACCTCCCCATATTTGATTCTAGTTTACGAAAATTCGAACGTGTGGACTGGTCCGTGGACGTTTGATGCATCGCATTGGATGACAAAAAGTGTCTGGGCCGCGTTGTCCAAACATTTTGACGCACAACCTTGGAGATGCCCTTACACGATAAGAATCTTACATGTTTCGTAGTGAGATTTATAATGGATATGTCATACGGCGACCGAGCTCCATGGAGGTCTTAACTTGAAAACTTCAAAATTCAAACATTTCAAATTCAAAAAATTCTGAAAAGAATTACAGATATACCTAGCAACATAGTGTACGTGTACGTAATTTTTCAATTTGAAATATGTTAAAATGAAAGCTACACAAAAAACCTAATATGGGGATTTTTAGCATATGTAATGTGCAACATCAATGTCCATGATTTTTTTTGTGCAGCTCGCAATTCAAGGTATTTTATTCTGAAATTTTGCACACATACACATTACATCCTTATATATATACCCCTTCGTTCCAAAATAGATGACTCAACTTTGTACTAACTTTGGTTCAGAATTTCTGAAACGAGAATTTTGAATTTTAAAATTATGAAAATTAAGGCCTTCATGTAGGTCGGTCTTCAAAATGCCCTACTTCTACTTGTATTATAATTTGTTTGTATAAATGTATGTGCAGATGGGTCCCTTGGCGGGTTTGGCCTGAATATGTGTCACCCATGTCCAGTGTAATAGATTTTTTTTTTTCCTTCCACCTATGGGCTGTTTCTGTTGTACTCCTCGTACAGTTGACGGCAGGTCGGCAGCGCAGAAGTCAAACGTCTCACAGTGCTCCGGATTTTGACGTTTTTGCGCTTGGCGAACGGCGATCGCGGGCTGAGCGGACTGCGGCCTCCGGAGAGGGAGACGTACAGGTGCATATCGTCTCTGTTCTGTGTTGAGCAAAAGCCTCGGCTCGTCCGTGCGTCCACGCCACAAACCGGATGAACCAGCGACGGTACGTGCGTCCACCACGGCAGCCTGGTTGTAGCCAAAAGGAGAGGAAAACGAGGCGATCTTCTCCCCGCTTTTGGCCGCCGACGGCGAGCTCAACAGAAAGAAAGAGCAACGGCACGGGGTCCCTGTCTGTCATGACGAGATATTATTGCTTGGCAAGCTGCTTCAGTTCAACGTGTATTGTATGTTATCCTGCTGCGACTCAATTAATCAGTATTCTTTTTATGTAATCATTATGTTGTTGTCCTGCTTACGCTAAATCAAGCACCCCGGACGGCGTGACCATGCCACACCGGCGTTTGTGAGCCAGTCCAAAGCGTCCGCGCTCCGTTGAGCGCACAGAGACCGAGTCACCCGTGCCGACCCTGAAACCTTTTTTTTTTTTTGCGATGGTAAAAGAGTTTTACTTCATAAACATAGGGTTACAATCAAGTGGCAAGAGCTCCTCCACACACGAGGTCCCCGTCCACGCCATACAGCAATAGTACTCTCTGTACGGCTATACGTAGCCAAACGATCTGCTACCCTATTCTGCTCTCGTTTAATTTTCGATGGAATAAACTCTCTCTCACCCATAAGATGACGAATCTCAGCTACTAAGTGACCATAAGCCGAGCGGGAAAGGCTCTCCCCTGTCAGAGCTGACAGGGCCTGAGAGGAGTCGGATTGGACGATGATGGGAAGATCACAATGCTGAATTGATAGTGCCATTCCTTGCATTATTGCATGTAGCTTCGCCTCCAGCGCATCATTGCAGTTGAAGATACATTGATATGCGGCAAAAATTACAGTGCCTTCGTATGATCTTAGTATCATGCCAGTAGCTGCAGACCCATCCGATGAAGAAAACGATC